GTAATTCTTTCAACAATAAAGATAAATTTTTAAAAAAACCATGTTCTTTAAAATTCTTAGATGAAATGAATTTTGTCATTATGAAATATGCTTAAGATGCTTCAAGAAACTTTACACTTTAAAATAATAATTTAAAGAATTCTTTTGTAAAGTGATCTTTTGAAATGTCAATTGTCAAGATAGTAATAAAGCATAATTTCCTTTGAAATGAAACATGCATTTCATTTGTGTGATTTTATTTTAGTTATTATTTGGGTTGATTTAAAAACTTGCAGTAGAAAATAAAATGTGATTTAATAAGCAAGTAGTTGATTTCTCACATAATTTTTCAAGAATATATAAGCAAGTTTAATCTCTTGAACATGTCAATGAACATATTGAAAAAATGGAAATAGATGATAAATTTTATGACCTGTTATATAATTATTAGTTTTTAATTCTGTGTAAGTTTCCTACTCTAAATGATATCAAATATCAATTTCTCAAAATTCAAATAATGCTTTAAAGAAAAACAGCATTTATTTGCAAAGACATCTGCACCCCTATGTTCATTGCAGCATTATTCACAGTTCTCAAGACGTGGAAATAACCAAAATGTCCTTTGATAGATGATTGGATAAAGAAGGTGTGGTACATATACACGAAGGAATACTACTCAGCCATAAGATGAAATACTGCCATCTGCAATAGCATGGATAGACCTTGAGAATATCATGTTAAGCATAATTAAGTCAGACAGAAAAAGTCAAGTACCATATGATTTCACTCATATGTGGGATATAAAACTGAAAGCAACAAATGATCAAACAGGAAAAGCAAACAAAAACTCATAGACACAGACAACAGTATGGTGGTTACCAGAGAGAAGGGGTGGCGGAGGTAATAAAAGGTAAAGGGGTAAAATATACGGTAATGTAAGATTTGACTTTGGGTGGTGTGCACACTGTGCAATGTACAGATGATGCATTATGGAATTGTACACTTGAAACCTGTACAATTTTATTAACTAATGTCACACCAATAAATTTAATAAAAAGAAAAAAGATAAAACTATGTTTCATTTCCTCCAAAACTGGGTTATGAAATTATATTTTTTCTTCTTCAAGTGTCAGCTTTTAGAACACATAGATGCCACAATTCTTTTTTTGTGTGTATGTTTTTGTTTAGAATATTACAGATGTCCCTTTTTCTTCCCAATGACCCATTCCATCCCTTCCCAACCCCCTTGCCAGTCCCTCTCCACACCATTGTCTGTGTCCTTGGGTTGTGCATATATGCATATAAATTCTTTGGTTACTCTCTCCCCCTCCACCCACCTGCCCTCCTCCATCCCTCTGACATTCTTCAGCCTGATCTATGCTTCCATGTCATTGAATCTATTCTGTTTATCAGTTTATTAAGTTCTTTAGATTCCACATATAAGTGAGATCATGTGATGTTTGTTTTTCTCTGCCTGGCTTATTTCACTTAGCATAATTTTCTCCAGGTCCTTCCATACTGTCCCAAAGGGTACGAGATTCTTCTTTACAGCTGCATAGTATTCCATGGTGTAAATGTGCCACAGCTTTTTTATCCACTCATCTACTGATGGGCACTTGGGCTGTTTCCAGATCTTGGCTATTGTAAACTGTGCTGCTATGCACATCGGGGTGCATATATTCTTTCTGATTAGTGTTTCAGGATTCTTAGGATATATTCCTAGGAGTGGAATCACTGGGTCAAAAAGCAGTTCCATTTTTAATTTTTTGAGGAA